GCTCTCGGAGGCCGTGCGGGCCGGACGGGTCGGGCCGAGCCTGCGGGTGCTGGACGCCTCCTGGTACCCGCCGCAGGAGCGAAACGCCCGGCAGGAGTTCAAGGAGAGGCACATCCCCGGGGCGTCCTTCTTTGACATCGAGGTGTGCCGGGACCAGTCCTCCCCTTACGACTTCATGCTGCCTAGCGAGTCCCACTTCGCCGACTACGTGGGGCGCCTGGGGGTCAGTAACAACACCCATGTGGTGGTGTATGACGGGGACAAGGTGGGCACCTTCTATGCCCCCCGTGCCTGGTGGATGTTCCGGGTCTTTGGGCACAAGGAGGTCTCAGTGCTGAATGGTGGCTTCAAGAACTGGGTGAAGGAGGGCCATCCTGTCACGGCGGAGGTCGGCCAGCCCACCCCAGCTGTCTTTAAGGCCAAGCTGAACACGGGCCTGCTGAAGACCTTTGAGGAAATGATACAGAATGTGGGGTCCCTGCAGTTCCAGGTGGTGGATTCCCGCCCCGAGGGCCGGTTCCGGGGGACCGAGCTGGACCAAGGTAATGGAAGTGGGAACAGCACCTGCCCCCCGCACCAAAGCGGGATGGATGAGTGTTGATACGAGTCTGGGTATAACAACTCCTCCCAGCCACCAAACTGATACTGCTAATGCACAGGTGTACCTTGACCTAACTTCGTTGATTTACCTTAAGGGATCCATAGTCAGGCATTCAGATCCCAATGCTTTCCTTGTGGCTGGTTGTAAAGCTGGAGGAGGAAATAGCAGAAAAGGTCTGCAGTCAGCTGGCTCCAGGATCCCCCAGTCCACACCCTGCAGAAGTTAATCAGAATGCAAACGGGTTTGTTCAGTGTCCTATCTTATACCAGCACACATGCACAAACTATCAGTATTCGTATGGGCACGTCTCACCACAATGTATGCGCAAGCAAAAGCCCAGGTTTTAGGCAATACAGTAGCGCAAAGGACTTTGTCCTTCGTGCTCTGGTTCCAGGCAAATAGAGAACTTGCTTGAGCTGCTCTTTGTCCTTTTGCTTCAGTAGGAAAAGCCCCAAAACTTTACCAAATGTATGGGCTGTCAAGGTCTCTGTTTTGGCTGCCCCAAGAAGCCAGAGCAAAAACTGATTTTGTTACCTGGGTCAAACACTGGACATGCAAGCAGCAGGGGTGGGAGAAGTCCTGTGCAGTGGGAACAGCTGGTACAGCAGTGTGCCTGGAATGACATTCACATTGGTTGTTAAAAGAGGCCCTTACTGTGTAATTTAAACCTTGGTATATCCCAAAATAGCCTCCCCTCTGAAGGGGAGTCATGGAAATGGCTTGAAAAAACCCAGAGTTTCAAAAGCAAAGCACAGAAAAGCTCAACAACAGTTGTTGGGTCTGAGTCTAGCTCCATGCTGCAGAAGCGGGTGTGCAGCAGGCTTCTGCGGTCCTGAGGCAGTGCTGCACTGCCTTGCAGGTTGGTTGTCACTCAGTTCTGGCTGTTGCCTTATACACGTGCAGCTGTACAGCCATTGAGCATGGCTCCATGGCCTGAAATAAATTCCTGTGTCTGAACCCCACGAGCATTTGGTTGTAAGTGACTCTGTACACGTGGTTTGCATAAGTATCTATAGTGAGCCCCCCCCCAGCACACTTAACCTGTGCAAGACAACGCGGAAGGTAAGAGAGGTAATGGGAGTGACAGAGGAGACTGTTGCAGGGAGAAAGAGGGAGTTAGGCTTATCACTCATTCTGTTTCTTTGTTAACTGCAGCCCATCAAAGTGAAGGTTGAATTTTAACCTCAAGTCACGAATAAAACACTTCTCGCTGGGAGCTGGTGGATTTTGCATTCTCTTTCCCAAAGCAGGAGCTCTCACCAGGTGACAAACACTGCAGCCCCTGACAGCTTCTTGAAAACAGATTTTTTCTTTTGAAATGAGTCAGCATGGAACAGTTTATTTGTGGTGGTCCAGTTTTGCTTCCTGCAGCAGATCCAACAGGATAAGCATTCCAACTGCAGCTGCTTGTTCCAAAGGAGCTTGACAGCCTTCTGAACCAGGCTAGCCAATAGCTATGCTACAGCCAGCAGCAGGTAGAAGGGAGTGTTTACACCTAAAAGAGCAATTTGAAATCAATGCTGATTAATTACAGGGGTCATCCAATAGGAGGAGAATTTAGAGAAGAATGGTCTTGAGGTTAAGGAACTTGCTGTGTTCTCAGGTGATTTCAGTTTAATTATTGCCTCAGCTCTTGACTTCCTAATTAAGTCAATTAATCTCTCCAGTTCCATGAACTACATCTCTAGAAGAGGCTAAGAGGCTAATTTCAGCTGACTCTTTTGCCTCTTTAGTTTTTCAGTTCCTTGTGGTAAGAATCAGTTGTGTCTGTTTTATTTTTATGCAGCAGATACCTTGCTGGGATTTAGACCTCTGGGATTTAGACCTAGTGTTTAAAATAAGCCACAATACGTGGTTATTTTTTAGCTGCTCGGAGAGCTTTACCCTGGTTGACAGGGTGGAGAAAAATGCAGGTATTGCTTTGGATGAAAAAGCTTGGATGTTCATGCATTGTGTGCACAATAAGCCAATCAGATGTGCAGCCCTGACCTATGCACTGAGTTATTAAAGGTGTCCCTGCACAGTGTTTTTTGTTTCTGGAGGAAATAGCAACTTGGGCCTGCTCACTAGCTGTGATTCAGCAATGGTCCAACCAAGTTGCTCAGGCGCTGTAGGGTGCATGTTTATGGAACCAGCCTGAACTGAGACAATCTCAGGCAATCCAGGGGCAGGTGATAAAAATAATTACATGATGGTTACCAGTGCTGACTCCGTCTGAGTGCTGGGCACTGAAAGTAGAGAAAGAAGAAATACAGGTGAACAAATGCATACCAAAACATTGTGAATTTCTGAATTCTTTTGCAGACACCTGAGAAAAGAGGGGAAAGTAGCTAGGTAAGAAATCCATGCTGTAGAAGAGAAAGCAAATTCAAGGTCATTTGATGAGCTTCCTGCTATTTTTCTTCTCATTCTCAGCCCTCAGGTAGTCTTTGTCTCCCTTGCACATACACAACTCTTAAGGTTTTGCTTGTTTTCCCAGCTCTCATTCCTCCCTGCCCCAGACATAAGGCTTTTGCTCAGCTTGAACTTGCAGTGTCAGTGAGAAAGAAATGTTGCTGCTTCTTCCCTCTCTTCTCCAAGTGGAGTCTGCAGCTGGGAGTGGACTGGTTCTGCTTTCACCATGACTCAAAGCACAACATGGAGAGTGAGAGATTTTAGCAAAGTCTGTTTCAACCCACAGGAACCTACAATCCAAAGCTGTCCATTCATGTGACGAGGTTGACAAGCATCAGCTGCCAGAATTAGCACCATGGCCCTGCTGGTTCTTAGAGTTGAGTCTTCTGGCTGTATACACACACAGTATTTCGACGTTGGTGGCAACGTGATCTGACCGCGAGGACTTTCAGGGAGATGGCCAGGACCAAGCTTAAAGTGTTGCTTCCAGTGAGTTTACGGTAGGTTAGTTGAGATCACTGATGGTTCCTTCCGAGGAATGCAATTTGAATGGAAGGGAAAGATAAAAAAAGGAGGCAACAGAGGAGGCATTTGGAAAGGAACTGCTATCTGCAGCCAGCCAACTCCAAGACTGCGGGGAGTTAAATGTGGACAAAGTACATCTTTTATCTTTTTGACATTAAGAAATTCCATCTGGAGCTTGCATTGTAAAGAGAAAGGCTAGAGAGAAGGAGCTGTAGTCTTAGCTAGATAAATACCCCCAAAAAATCCCAACAAACATTTAAGCAGAGAATCTTAACAGATGTGGAAAAGGGGATTAAACAGTGAAGAAGATAACATCCTACAGGTTACAAATTGTGAGGGAGGATTGCCAGAAGCCAAGCTGAGTGAGGCTTGGCAAAAAGAATTAAAACAAATAATAGAACCTGCTGGAGCAAAGTGAATAAAAAGAGAACAAGGAGAGAAAGGGTAAATAGGGTTGCTATGCAGTTAGCAGGGGTTCCAGATGAAAGATCATTTGTGTACAGCCTCAGAATTATAGTCTGCACTACCTTTTTTGTTTTGCTTTTTTCCTCCTGAGGATAAGTCTTCAGAGTAGGGGGAGAAGTGGCAAGAAGGGGAAAGAAGTGGAGATTATCATTTCTAAAGAGGGAGTATAACCAAAGTATATCCATGTGCTCAAATCTGTGATGCAGATTATCTCCATCCCAAATACGTGTCAAAAATCAGTCATTTGACATTGCAACTCCATGAGGCAAGAATTTAATAAATTTAATCAAAGGATGGTTCTGTAGGACAGACAAACTGGCAAAGTTTGTGTTTGGATTTAGGATAGGAACAGCACGACCTAGGTAGCTGTTGATCTGTTACCCTAACATGGATGGATTGGAAGGTTTTTTAAAAAATTCAAGTAAAATTATTTTAAATTAAGGCAAAATTGAATAAAATACCTTGGTAAACTTGCACTGCATCTAAAGGCTCTATTTCCTTGCCAACAGAATTGATTTGCCAGGTAAGAGAAATGGGAACATGTATGCCTGGAAGTTATGTCTGATCTTTTCTTCCAGCCATTGGAAGCACCTTTGAGGTAGACTTGTTCCATTTGGACTTCATTAATACTTTGGGCATAATATTGGAGGGGTAATTATTAATTCAATGTGAGAAGAAGGCAAATAGCACAAGTACTGTTAGATTCAAATAAACCCTGACTGAATGGGAGATAAGGGAGATAAGAATAGCTTGTGCTGAAAGCTGATCTGTGGGGCTGGAAGTTGCCAGCATGGCCCTGTCATTATGCTTCTGTGTTTTATTTCATATTTTCTGAATCATCAAGGCACTGAAAATAGAGAGTTGCTACTGAAATGTGCTGCTGGCACAGCTTTGGGGAGGTTTAAACGGTCACATGGGGAGTATTATGTGAGGTACCATCTGCAGTCATAGAATTGACAGGAGGTACAATGCTACAGAGAGCTAGGTTGGATGCTCAGTACCCCAAAATACTTAATTGCATGTGTTTCTCTTACAGCTGAAGACCCCACATTTGGAAGCAATAGAATAGCGTAAGACTCAGATGGATTAGTTAGGTGCAGTGGACTCAAATATGATTTTGCCTTGACAACAGCAATTATTAACCTGCTGTCTACCAGTTGAGATGCTAGGAAGTGCCACTTCCTTATCCAAAAGCCTAGAACTGTTTCTGCGGTGGCCGAGGCAGTGAAAAGCGTATCTAACTGAGTTCTTACTGGGTTTAGACTAAGGCTTTTGGGAGCGCTGAGTGCGCACCATGGAGCAGTAGCAGAAAGGGAGAAAAACTGTTTCAGCCACAGGGCAATGTTAACTCAAGGACAAATGGTGTATGGACTGACTGTGACAAGCTTAATGTTGCAAAGTAATATTCCTCCTCACATGATCAAGGAGATGCCTCAGCGGGAAGTTTCATGGCAAGAATCCAGACTGGTTCTGGGATGGGAGCTTTTAGGAAAGGGAGCCTGTGAAGTGATCACCATAGTAGCTGGGAGCCAGGCTCTGTAATCCTAGGGTTCTTTCCTGAAGTTTGTAAGGGTGACTACATAAATCTGGCATGGAGTATGCTCTGTGTACATGAGGCAGGAGCAGATGTATCCTCTTGCCTGTTCAGGTCCCAACTGCGTCCATCCTTACCGTCCAGTCCTGTGTTTCTCTGCTCTTGTCCTAGAAGAGAATGAGATAATGAAGCTTCCTCAACCAGTCAAGAGCAGTTTTTAGACAGTCCAAGGGTTTGTGGTTGTGCAATGTCAGCTCTTTCTTTCAGCTGAACACCCACATACATGAGTAAATAACAGTTTCTGCAGAATTCCTTATCTTTCACTTGGAGAGTGCAAGCACTGGTCTCTGACTCCAACAGACTTCTGAATCTTTGAAGCAAGGAAGACTCTCTATAGATCAAAGTCAAAAACTCTCTAAAATGAGACTGTTCTTTTCAGAGCTGCTCAGCTTCTAAGGGTTGTTTCAGGATGAGTGTGTCATGACAGTCTCCAGTAAGACTACCTGTTTTAAGATGTGTGAATAGTCTAGAAAAGCAATCATGACCATGGGGCTTGGGGCACCTAAGAACTGGATGGGTGGCCCAGCAGGCTTCTTTGAACCAGCCCTTCTAGTTCAGCTCTAAGGACTTCTTGATCTTGGTACACTTCCCAGTGCCACAGGATGGTGTGAAAGCACTGTTCTACAGCTCACAGACTTGTCTGTAGTGTGGTGGTCTCCAGTACTGCTGCAGAGCCTTGCAGAAATCCATTGCCAAATGACAGCATCAGGACCATTCATTCTTGCTGGAAAGTGGTAGCCTAACCTAGGTATGTAATTCTCCAGTAAAAAGTTCTGCAGCCTGAGAACTGCAAACAAGGTTTTCTCCCACTCATTATTTGTATTATTTTTATTTCCCCTCTGTCATACAAACACTGTATTAATGAGCATGGATTTTGAAGTTCTCTGTCCTGAAATGATGAACTGTTGTTTTCTGGAAATGGAGAAGATGTGGTGAAAGCATCGGTCCAAAACACTGCCTATTTTTATTGGTGGGTTATTTGGGGGTTTTGGGTTTTATTTGTTAGTCCTCCAGAAGTCAGCAGTTTTTCTCTCCCAGCTTCTCCCTGTAATGATAAACACTTCTGAAGGATGCATGAGGTGACTAGTAGACAACAGTGCCAGGTTTCTAAGGTATTCCGGGATGATGAATCAAAAGACGAAGAGAGTCCACCTGGAACAGGGAGATATATTACAAAGCTGACACAGGGCAGCTTTGATTGTCTTTAGACCCTCAGTCTTTGTCCAGCAGAGCAAAAATCACCTCCTCAATACCCTGCCAAAACCCTGTTTTCCCCTTACGACAGATCTCTAAACTGCAGTGTCATTAGGATGTGTGATGTCAGTCTCTGATGAGGTGTACTTTAATCATTTGACCAAGGTTCCCTGCCCCAGTCTCTCCCGTCTCCTGAGATCAGTTACCCTGATGACTTAAGCAAGTGGGGAAATGTCAGTGAAAGATTTACTGTTTATGTGACTTTCCCAGGGCTGGCTCGTTAGAAGTTCAAACCTAGCAAGGAAATTCCCTGAAATGCATTTTCAATGTAATGTATTTCCTGCTCCAATGAGGCTTGATCCAAAGCCTCTCAAAGTCAGTGGAAAAGCTTCTATTGAGGGTAATGGACTTTGGTTAAGCCTATAGTGACAGAGTGTGACTTTCAAGGGCGTGATGAAAATCATATCCATCATGTTTTTATATCTGCTTCTTTCTAAAGACCTTGTTCTTGAGATGCAACTTCTAGCTTGCCTGAAGTGCAGCAGCAGAAAAACAGAACCCATGCTGATTTCATCCAGGGAGTGGAAAAAAATTGATACAAAATCTATAATCTCACTTCTCTGATCCTGTTTCCCTGGGATAGCTGCCTCAGCAGTAATGTGGCTGACTTAAAAGTTGCTTTACTTCTCTAAAATACAATTTTAAGGAATAAACTGTGAACAGATAACTGCTTTCATGAATTCCACGTACCAGCCACACTTCCTGCTTCTGAAAGCTGTGTCACTACACTCTACTGGCATACTTGGGGAAGGTCAGAAATGCATTGTTGCATTGCTGTTTACACAGATCCCTTAATGTCTTTGTTAGGATCTTTTCTGTGGTGGTTCTTGTCACATCTAGGGCTTCTTCAGATTCCTACCTCTCATTGCTTTGAAGGGGGAAATAGTTTGCAAAATGTTCTGGAGCCTTTGACTTCAGCAAAGTTTAATAATCTTTGTCCTCTTTTTAGCCCCATACTGCTCTGCATCTTCATCGTTGCCAGAAACAAATGGGTATCTTGGACAAAGTGGGAGTATCTGCAGTGGTGTCTCTTTAATGTCTATTTTGTAGGTGTCTTTCATCACCTACATTAATGTCTCCTTGCTCATGTTTCCTTTTCTTGTTCACTTTTGTAGGGCTGGAATCTGGTCATATCCCTGGTGCGGTGAACATACCCTTCCAATCATTTCTAACAGAATCTGGTCATGAGAAGAGTATTGAGGAGATCCAAGAAATATTCCGTGAGAAGAATGTGGATCTCTCAAAGCCACTGGCAGCCACGTGCCGCAAAGGTGTCACGGCATGTCACATTGCCTTGGCAGCCTTCCTGTGTGGCAAGCGTGATGTGGCTATTTATGATGGTTCCTGGTCAGAGTGGTTCCACCGTGCCCCACCTCGCTACAAGGTCTCTGAGATGAAGCGCAACAAGGCCTAGAGGGACACTTGTTTCTTGGGCAGTGAGACCTGGCAGCTGCCGCTAACCCCGGGTACAGGGCAAGTGAAGAGGTGGAAGTAAAGAAAACATGCTGATTTATATTTTGCTAATTTTTTAAGAACAATCAGTAGATTTCTATCTGTCTTTCAGTTTCCTGCAATGAATAAAGTCTAACTCTAAGATGATGCATCTGTGAATATTTCTAATTCTTCTCTGTTGCCTGTGACCTGCTTGTACTGGTTGGGACAGGCAGCTTTGTAACATGAAGGAGAGTCGCACTCTTCCTTGGAGACTTAAAGAAATTCTGGTAGCTTGGTGAGAGCTGAGGTCCATTGGTGGAACAGAATGGATGAAAAATCTGAGGCTAAAATATAGCACTGGGTGCTGGACACGGGAGGGCCAAGCTGTGGTTCTGTCGTTGGCTCAATGTAAGACCTTTAGCCAGCCCACCACCTCCCCTTCTCTAGTGTGAAAAACAGGGGCACGTTGCTGTCTGATGGATGCCAATGAGCTTGTGTGAAGCATTTGGAGATGCTAGAAGATCCAGTTCTGCAGAAATACAGTCTAGTTGGCTATCATGACTGTGTTAAAAGAGTCTCCAAGAAATCCTGTGTATGTGATAAGAACTTCTGAGCACAGGTGTTTCATGAGACACGAGCCTTTTACTCTACTCCTTGGGTTTTTTTCAGTCAGCAAGGAGAACCATGATCTCTGCCATGTTTCTTCTGGTTCCCATAGAGATGACAGCTCATAGATAGAGGGAGGGTTGTTCCCCAGCAACCATCTCTTCAGCCTTCATC